ACCAAGATATACTTGATGCTCCTTTTCGGCCAAAATGTGCCTGGCTCCATATATTTCCATACAATAAGGCTGGTTGGTTTAAATTCTATTACTCGATCAATTTTTCACCAATCGAAATTTTGAACCGTAACTTCGACCAGTTCTATCGTTATTACGGCTTATTTTCCTAAAAAATATCAATACAACGTTGGAATAGCTGTCGAAAGACAAGGCATTTTTTTGTAGTCTTTAGTTGAAATGCACCATACGAAGTAACGTTACTATTAATATTAATATATTACTACGTAGTAATAGTACACTAGTACTTACTAGTATTACAGTACAGTACTATGTGTTAATAGTAAGTACTATTAACACATAGTACTGTACTGTAATACTTTATAAGGCTGAGGTAAGTTACGAGTGACTAACGAACAAGCTCAGAGTATCACTTTTGGCCGCATGTTCATTCTTAGGGGTTCCACCAACTAACGTGGAGACTTGGTCCGTTGTTCTACTCGACACAACGTTATCCAATACTATAGTACTAGAATGCACCTATAGATTGGCTATATGTAGCACGTTTTGGAATTTGAATCCGACTTATAGCCATTCCACACCAGCGTTTACTGTTAGCAAATACTGAGCTGACTGGGAGTTGGGTTTTTTACGTTCATGTTGACGAAGGACAAAAAGTAACTTGGTAGATGGCGTCGGGGTCTCGGCATCCGTGGTCTTTCGTATTGTCTTCGGGGTATTGGTACGCATCTTGACATCCGTCGGCAAGACATTTCAACGGTGTGCAAATCGAGTGCAGTGGCTGGGCAAATTGAACCCCACTTTGCCCGTTTCGTTTTTGCAATTGGCCAAACTTTGCGATTTGTACGTGCACTAATAAGATCAATAATTAACCACAATAAATATTTATATATATACATATATAGGCCTCGAAGACAAATATACGTCATGCCCAAACGTACCCCCGGCGGAATGATGCTAATGTCGTAATGCGTGCCCGTGGTCGAATTCACCGCGATCTCAAACACTAACAGCACAACACCCACATACAGTATGAGTTCTAGTAATACCACGGAGCTAGTAGTAGTACTACTACTTTGTTTTCGAAAACCCTCTCAAACTTGATACTATTCGTGCATGTAGCTTGGTCTTGGCCTCCGTCCAACGTGTGCAAGTAGGCGCCGTCTCGGTTGTTCGGGCACCCGTAAGACTCGACTGGCACTTGGCAAAACGCCCACTTCGGTGCGTCGTCGCGGTACTTTTGAAACACGTTGAGCGGATGGCTACACTTGTTGACAAAGTAAAAGCGGTACTTAGACCACCGGACATGGGTGCCGTCACCTGCACCCGAGCCAAACAGCATCTCGTCGGCCGTTCTGGTGGCGTCTGGGGTCACCATGTTGGTCGTGGGTTCGGGGGGTGGAGAAGGAGATACCCGTGGAACCAGAGGAGGCGGCGCGGCCGTTGTGGTTCGATGTTCCATTTCCCCCACACTGGCGTTGCTGG